TAAAAAATAAATAAAGCTTAAAAAGTACTAAGAACAATATCAGATAGTATTCCACCTCAGGATTAAGAAAAATAAACCAAGGGCATCCATGCTGCCATTCCACTCACTCTGTCACTGACAACTGTGCCCATTGCTCTCTCCCAATTCCTGGTTGGGTCGAGTGGCTCCCAGGAAGATAAACCCCTTTAGCGAAAAGGCAAGGGAATGTTATTAAGAGACTATTTAAATTTTGTTGCCAAGCTGAAATATTATAAAATCCCACCACTTCATTTCTCTTATCACTGTGTACAAAATGGGATAACCAAAAAGTAAATAAATCACTCTAATCAACTTAGTGGGCTTCTTCAAATACATACAGGCATACCTCATTTTATTGTGCTTTGCTTATTGTGCTTCATTGATGTTGCCTTTTTACTAATTGAAAGACAAACCCTCCACCAGCAAAAAGATTGCAGCTTGCTTTATTGCATTACTTATTTTATTGTGGTCTAGAACCGAACCTGCAGCATATCTGAGGTACGCCTGTGCATCGTAAACCTTCACAGACACAGAGAACATCAGTTTCCACAAACGAAGATCACAATAAAAGTTACACTAAAATTCAAGCCAAATTTTAACTTGACGTTTTAGGATTGTGATGACTTTTCTGAGGTACTGAATTGGTTATAGCCTCAGTTATTTCATCAAACCCAGAATCCCTGCAATCAGCCTTTTATAGTTTCTTTCCCTTGGAGATAAGGAGGGACTGTGAATAGGATGGATTTCATCCCCAGGATTGTTGTGTCACATGACCAGAGGGATTTTGCTTGGTGTGATTAAGGTCCTCCATCATTTGACTTTAAGAAAAAGAGATTGTCCTTGGAGAGGGCTGACCTACTCAAGTGAGCCCTAAAGAGGATCTGTGCTCTTCCTGGCATAAGAAATACAACCGGTCAGAAGAGTACAATGAGAGGATGGTGTTCCTTTGCTGGCTTGAAGTGAGGAAGAGGCTGTATGACAAGGAATGAGAAACCTCTAGGATCTGAGAAAAGCCCACAGCAGACATCCAGCATAGAAACAGGGACCTCAGTCCTGCAACCACCAGGAACTAAATTTTGCCACTATTATGTGAGCTTGGAACAGTACCCATTTGAGAATACAGCCTGGACAATGCCTTTCTTTTAGACCCCAACCACAACCTGACCAGAACTGTGACCTACAAATCTGTGAGCTAATAAACGAGAGCTGTTTTAAGCTGGTGTATTTGTGGTTATTTGTTATACAGCACTAGAAAACGAATATAAGTAATCTTTCAATGCCTTCATGTCAACATTATGAACATAATGTATATCATGTTGACAATGAAGGAAGCAGAAACTCTGCTGAACTTGAACTGGCCTTAAACATAAACACTAGTAGCTTACTTGGAAAAATGCAAAATCTTAAGCTTCCAAGTTATTATACTGATAATATAAGTATAGATATTAATGACAGATTTTTATAAGTATTATTTACATTTAGTATTTGATTGTGTACAAGGTGTTTTAACAGAAAAATGCATCATAGGATAAAAAACATACTGAGTTGTGAAGACAGATCTAGGTTAACATCCTGGCTATGACTCTAACTTTGAACAAGTACCCTAAATCTCTCTGCTGTTGAATGGTAAGACCTATATCAATCTTCCAGAGTTCCTGGGGTCATGGGACCCTATATAAAATATCTGGCATGTGCTCAAATAAATTTTATGTCATTTTATTCCTCTTATTTAAACTGTTATCACGTCACTGAAATCAGGGATCCTGACTTAGTCACCATTAAATACAAAGGGCCACCCTAACTGGTTTGGCTCAGTGTATAAAGCGTCGGCCTAAGGACTGAAAGGTCCCAGGTTCGATTCCAGTCAAGGGCATGTACCTTGGTTGTGGGCACATCCCCAGTAGGAGGTGTGCAGGAAGCAGCTCATTGATGTTTCTCTCTCATCAATGTTTCTAGCTCTCTTTCCTTTTCCCTTCCTCTCTGTAAAAAAATCAATAAAGTATATTTTTTAAAAATCCAAAGGGCCTAGTGCAGTGCCTGTCACATAGTAAGCACTCATTAATCTTTTTAAAGTAAGAGAGTGATACACATATTTACATCTCTAACAATCTTGTGATAAAGAGAGCATCCCCATTTTACTCATAAATATTAAGGACCAGAAATGTTGATTTTCTTACTTAAGTTTTCTTAAATTACAAAATGATGAAGTACAGAAAAAAAAGCATTCTAAATTTAAGTTCTGTGCCGCTTCCATTGTACTATAGACTACACAGCTACCAGAGAGATATGAAACTATATCTCAGAATATTTTCACATATTTAGTCCTTGTGCTCCCCAAAAGGGAACAAAAATTGGCCACCATTAATCCACATTCTACTAGGTAGAATTCTCTATTAAGCATTTTCTAGTTTTCATTTATGTCTATATTTGCTACAAAAGCACAACAGTAAGAATGGATTCCACTGCCTAAATCCCCAGAATTTACATGATGAGTAAATTTTTCAAAATAACTTTGCAAGAACCTGCTTCCGTTAACCATTTTGGGCAGAGTAGTTTTTTTCTTTTCCCTTAAGGAATGGTGCAAAGCAGTGACAACACCAGATGCTGACAAGGATGTTGCTGATGGGACTGTTCAATGGAAAAAACACTCTGGAATACAGTTTGGCAGTTTCTTCAAAAGCTACGCCTATAAATATGTACGACCCAGTAGTTGTACTTCTATGCATTTATCCATAGAAATGAAGACTATGTCCACATAAAAAACTGTACATGATTATTTATAGAAATGTCATGAGCAATAGCACAAAACAACTGAAAACAACCAAGACGTGCTATAGTAGGTGGACGGTTCAACAAGGTGTGATATACCCACAGCGTGGAATATGAGAGAAAGAGAGAGGGGAGGAGAGAGAGAGAGAGAGAGAGAGAGAGAGAGAGAGAGAGAGAGAAATTTCTACATGATGCTGTTGCATGAATAGGTCTCAACAGCATTGTGCTGACTGAAAAAAAAAAGAGCCAGTCTCAAAAGGTTACATACTTTTACAGAACAGTTTTGAAATGACCAAAGTATTGATATGGAGAACAAATGATGCTTAACAGGTTAGGGATAGCAAGGGAGCAGGTGACTATAAATAGCTTGCATGAGGCAGATATTTGTGTTAATGGGTTAGTTCTATATTCTGATTGTGGTGGTCATTACAGAAATGTACACATGTGATACAAAGAAAAAGAAATATATACACAATTTAACATTGTGAACTGGGTGGTTTTGGCATTTAACTTCTGTTACATAAAATGTAACCACTGGGGGAAGCTGGGTAAGAGTACACAACACTTTTCTGTTCAATCTTTGAAACTTCATGTGATTCTATAACTATTTCAAAAAATAAAAATGGGTGCACAGCCAAATGTCTGAGACTCTGGTAGAATCGTGTACACTCTCTAGAACAAAACACGACTTTCATATTTTCACGACCCCAACAGTAAGCATAGTTCATGTTTTTTCCGGGGACTTTGAAAACAAAGATGCAACAATCACACAGAAAATTACAAACTTTGTCTTTATCCCAGAGATTGGTATCCCTTCCCATCCACCTTCATCCCATCTCATGGCCTTTAAGTCTCGAGTTTACAATCCTCCTCTCAGTGACCTACACTCTACTCCAAAATCTCCCTCCCCCATTGTGAGTTAATGAGATTTTCAATGGAGGAGAGATTTTTGAGCAGAAAAGCCTTCCAAATTCGGCTCTTAGCCATCTCCTGCCCATGCTGCACCACACAGACACCCCTCTCATGACACCCCAGCTTCAACACCTCAGAACCTCACTTCATAAAATAAATGTCCCAGGAAGACAGCTAAAATTTGAAAAGTACTTTGGTTTACAAAGGACTGGTACACAAGGGATCTCATGATGCTTGTTAGACTGGAGAATACATAAAGCAGGAATCTCTTTTCATCCCCATTGTAGAGATGAGGTAACTTGGACCCAGTGAAGTAACTCCTCAAGTTCAATAGAGGCAAATGGTTAAGTTGAAGAATCAGATGTCCTGATTCCTAATCCTAAGCAATGTCAAAATATTCCATCAGAATAAACACCCCATTCCCAACCTGGTAATAAAAATGTCATAACAGGAAACACTAGAAGAATAGAAGGCAAATAGTTGATTCAACTGAATGGTCTGATCCCATCTAAATCAGAGGTTCTCAAAGGTTTGTCTAATCCTGAGAGCAGTAATATGACTAGTGGTTCTAAATAGAGCTTTCAAAATAGAAAGTCAGTATGCACCTGTATGTGGTTAAAGTAATCAGCTGGCATGGCAAGGACTAGAAAGAAAGCAGATTGTTTACTTCAGCTAGCTGTACTGCTTTATGCAACTCCCCAGCCCATGTCTATGAAGAAAGGGCACAATCCTGGTGCCATAACAAAGGCTGAATTCAAATTAATTCTATTAGATCCCTAGCTCTCCCTCATCTTGACCAAGAAAAAGAACAAACACCATAGCAGGAAACCTCAAGGAAACATCATTATGACCTGATTTTTGATTTTGTGATTCTCTTTCTGATCTATTTTTTTCCCAGCTGGAACATGGCTGGGATTTGTCAGCCCTTGACCAAAGTGCAGGTAATAAAAAAGCTACATCATTGAAAAGATCATGGAAAATTAATCACATGAAAGGTAGTACTTTTGATAGCAGCAAACAGAAATGCAGATTAAATGATGCCTGGAACTCTACACCATCAGAACAGTTCTCAGAACAAAAGTTTGAGAACCTGACAATACACAAATAACACAGCAAAGGAGTTTTATTATGAAAAGTAGACCAAGTAAAGTCATAATCTTAAAGCTGCTAAATATTACATAATCATTAATAGTCATAAACTACTTTTTGATTCAAAGGAGTCCCTAGTCCCATTGTGTCTCATTTCTCATAGGATTAGGCTACTGCAGGACAAATAAAAGGGAAGATTATGAAATTCTTACCAATACGATATTTTAGTTCTATGGTGGTTTCGCCTTCTCTAGTTAATTCTGTTACTTCACAAGTGTAGTTTCCTGGGACAGCATCGCTCTTGTCCATAATCAATGAGGCATTGCCTGATAGCAGTGTGTCTGATACGAAGTATGCACTCGAAAAGTCACTGGTGGCCTTAGATTCATTTTTATATCCATCATAGTAGTAAATTTGTTTACCTCTGAATCTCCACTTTACAAACATTTCTGCAAGGTCCTTTGCCCCCAAATTATTGACTATGCATGGGATGAGAATAGTTTTATTATCTTTGGTGTATTCTACCGAGTCGGTTATATTAAATATTAGCTGAGCTGAACCTGGAAAAGAAAAAGAAAATAGTTTCATTTCACTATAGAATTCTATAAATTAAGGTCTTAGGTATGTTACAAATCCTGAAGATAAAAGATCAATGCTTCAATTGTCCCCTTAAGTATGCAGTGCAGCTATACAAAGAAGGCAGACCAGGTAAAAAAGTGAAACAATGTATTTTAATATTAACCTGCACAGATGGTAGACACCATTGTAACTATTCTTTATTAATTCTCAGTAATACACAGTACACATTACCAAGAGTATTGGTAATAAATTCAGCAACCTGTGTTGGAACATGAAGTTGTATATTTGGCTTCAGAAGCTTTGAAGAAATCATTGTTGCTCACTGATGTACGTAGAAAAATATTGTTCTTACCATGGAAAATTTTTGAACAGAAAATCAAACGAAATATTATATTGTCTCAATTTATATATATTCCCTCCAAACAGAACTTGCTAAACCCATATGAAGTTTATCTCTATCTTTAGGTTGCATTTCCAAGCAATGTGTTGAGCTATATTGTACTTTAATATAAAAAGTAAATCAGATGAATCACTTCTTACATCTAAGATGGAAAGTCTTAGAATGCTAAGGAGAAAAAATATTCTCTGGCTATTTCCATTGCAAAATACAAACAGCAATGGACATTTGGTATGCAAATACTATAAAGAGATATATACAATTGAAAGGCATTTTCTTACTCCCAAATTTAATTGAAACTATAGAACAACAATTTCCAAACGCATTTTACAGGTATTCCTTCCTCCTAAAAACCATAAACCACTCAAAATAAAGCTACAAAACAGTTGAAATCAAGAACAGATATTTCTGGTAAGTAGGTATATCCTATTAAATTCTTCTCAATAGGATAAACTACCAGTTGCCTTACAAAATAGAGATTGGGAAGGTAAATGCAATCACTCATCTTTCACCTAAAATGTGCAAATTGTAGAGAAATTATAGTTCTCTTCTATATTTTTCAGCCACTTAGTAACTCTTCTCTATAAGTAGTGAGTTGGATTTTTGCTGAAAACAACAACAACAACAAAACACTAACAAATATAAATATCAACTTTAACAGTTCATCCTTACAATTTCTTCCCTTTACACAAATTGGGAATAAAACTCAGGTCCATAACACGTTTTTATTCTAGGAACATAGTATTTGGTAAATGCCCATTGAGTTGAATGCTAGGATGCATTTGAAATATGAACTGAACAAGGTTCAGAAAGCCTGAGTACAAATTCTACCTGTCCCTTGTCAGTATGTGACCTTAAGCAATTCACGTAACTTTTCTAGGCCTTGGTTTACTCTCTGCAAGTAAGAGGATCAGAAATGAACACCAGACAGCTTCACAGAATTGTGGCGAGTATCAAAGGAGCAAATACATGGACAAGTGCCCTCTCAACAATGCTGTGCTGTACATATGCAGGTAATACTCTAAAAACTGGACAAAACAGCATTTTTACACAATGATCTAAACCTTCTCTGACTGGGAGGTGCAAATTGTTATGTTTCTGGGAATTTGCAGTCTGAACCAAGCTTGTGGTTCACAAGCTCAGTTCTGCCCAGTTCTCTACACTTCTAGCCATCCCTGTACTAGGAAGCCCCAGGCAAAACTGGATTTCCAATTATGTTTTTCAAAATCATGGGGTTCTGAATTATTTCTCTCATGTCCTTGCCTTTGCACATGTTCCCCCAGCCTAGAGGATCATGCCCTTCTCTGGGTGTATAGATCAGAACACATATTTTAGAGTCAGACATTGGCTCAAGCCTTATCCCCTTCTCGAAATATAATCATATGCAAATTATTTAACAACTGCACCTCAGCTTCCTCATCTATATGATGGGAATTGATAGTATATACCTCCTGGAGATTTTGTTGAGATTTAATCAGATAAGGAACACAAAGTTCTTATCTCAATGTCTTTCATATACTTAGCAAATTTTCAATAAATGGCCGATAGAGGTGACTAACTTTGGCTCTTCCTTCTAAATCACAGTTCAGATGTTTAATCCTGTTCCCCCTCCGTACACTATGCAACTGTATTCAATCTCTTTTTATTGCTCCCATGACTTCCTCTCAAGTGCTGTCACTACCCTTGTTACTAAATGTTGTAATTAATACTTGATTTAATTGGTCTCTCCATTAGGAGAAAGGGTAGAAAAGCAAGAACAATGTCTTTATTTTGTAGCCTATGGATTAAACCCAGGGTCCAGCAAGTATGCCTCATTACATTCCTTATGAATATAAAAAAGTTAAAGTCTGAGTCCCAAGAAAGGAATACAAACATTTGTATCAGAGAGGATTCGTTCTTCTTCCATATTTCAAGAGAACCCTCCACTACTTACTTCTATAGACCTGATTATGGAATCATGAAGCTACATATTTCAGTGCAAAATTTCAACTAAGTCAGTTGCAGGTGAGATGGAAGAGTTCCTTAATTTTGCAGGAAGAGCCAAAATTAGTCAACTGTAGCTGCCATTTATTGAGCATTTGCTAAGTATGTGAAAGCTTCAGAGACCAAGAATATAGCTAATAATTGAAATTATGAGCATAAATATGATTGTTCAGAGAGTCCTTTCAAAGTAACAGAGCAGGTATCAGAGAATTGAATGTTGGAGAATGCCAGTGATTATGGGGCAAATAGTTAAAAAGGAACAACTAAGGAAGTGAGTAGTAGTGTGAGAAGTAGGTGACCCAGCAAAGATCTCCACTATAGACATCAAGAAAATTTCTTGATATGAACAACATAGATGTCAAGTGTGATAAGTACAAAGAGCTCCTAGATGAAAAATTACATCACTGGGTACTGTATCTGGAAAATGTCAATAGACTAGTGGGATGAGAAGTCATAGTGCATTGGGAATAAATGGGAGGGGAGAAAGGAGAGGCAATTATTCTTTCATTAAATTTGACAGTCAAAGAGAACAGATTGAGAAGGTGATATTGGAAGAACTGTGGAGACAGGAACAGGGCAAGATTTTTTTGGTTCTTCTCGTATTAATTAATTAAATTATTAATTAATTTATTTTTATTTTATTTATTTATTTATTTAAAAAATTTTGTTTTATTGCTTAAAGTATTACAAAGAGTATTACATATGTCTCCTTCCCCCCCCTTGACATTCCCCTGGCCTCCCCTACCCCCAGTGTTTTATGTCCATTGGTTATGCTTATATGCATGCATACAAGTCCTTGGGTTGATCCCACCCCCCCCTCCTGCACCCCAACCCTCCCCAGCCTTCCCGCTGTAGTTTGACAGTCTGTTCGATGCTGCTCTGCCTCTGTATCTATTTTTGTTCATCAGTTTATAATGGTCTTTATTATCCATAAATGAGTGAGATCATGTGGTATTTTTCTTTCATTGACTGGCTTATTTCACTTAGCATAATGCTCTCCAGTTCCATCCATGCTGTTGCAAATGGTAAGAATTCCTTCTTTTTTACAGCAGCATAGTATTCCATTGTGTAGATGTACCACTGTTTTTTAATCCACTCATCTGCTGATGGGCACTTAGGCTGTTTCCAGATCTTCGCTATGTAAATTGTGCTGCTATGAACATAGGGATGCATATATCCTTTCTGATTGGTGTTTCTGATTTCTTGGGATATATTCCTAGAAGTGGGATCACAGGGTCAAATGGCAGTTCCATTTTTAGTTTTTTGAGGAAACTCCATACTGTCTTCCAGAGTAGCTGCACCAGTCTGCATTCCCACCAGCAGTGCACAAGTGTTCCCTTTTCTTCGCATCCTCTCCAGCACTTGTCATTTGTTGATTTGTTGATGATAGCCATTCTGACAGGTGTGAGATGGTACCTCATTGTTGTTTTGATTTACATCTCTCAGATGATTAGTGACTTTGAGCATGTTTTCATATGTCTCTTGGCTTTCTGAATGTCCTCTTTTGAAAGGTGTCTATTTAGGTCCTTTGCCCATTTTTTGATTGGATTGTTTATCTTCCTTTTGTTAAGTTGTATGAGTTCCCTATAAATGTTGGAGATTAAACCCTTATCGGTGATAACATTGGCAAATATGTTCTCCCATGCAGTGGGCTTTCTTGTTGTATTTATTCATTTTTTATATGGGGTAAAACTTAAGCATGTCTGTAAGCTATGGTGAAAGAACCAACGGAGAAGGAAAGATCTCAGATATAAAACTGAAGTATTAAATTGATTAGGTAGGTCTCCTAGGTGGTGAAAGTGAAAGAGCTATAGATAGGTGATCTTTTCCTTATAAAGGTGAATATGTATACTTCTGAAACTGGGTGAGAATGGAGAAACTGATGAATGTTACCTAAGACGATATAGCTAAGTTTAGAAATGGTGGGAGGGAATTTGAAAGAATCTACACCACACATAACCACTTTTTTTTTTTGGAGTAGGAAAATAATTGTCTGCTTGGAATGGCTGTTCAGGAATGGGGTAAGACAGCCCAGTAGTCACTAAGGTAAATGAAGCAAAGCTAATGAGTAAATATACCTGCTAGAAATGAATCCGTTTTGCCATATACCTTGACCCTGGAATGAAAAAGTGGAGCTTCAAACTGAATTGGGTTAGAATTAAGGTAAAAAGAAAAAGAAAAAGGAGGGTTTATTTAGATCTCTCCTCAATAAAGATCAAACAAGGTCTGGGGTAAAGTGGGGTGTCTCCAGAGTGTCTAGTTCTGACTCAAATTAATAGCCTCTAAATTGTAAAGTGGCCTTACAAGAAGTGCAGTGGTTGAGCTAGAATTACATGGGGAAGGGCAGTTTAAATTCAGTAACATCCAGTATTAAGGCCTTATTAAGCACGGAAAATATATTAAGTACCAGTGAAGGATTAAAAACAACAAAATCCCTGCTACCTAGTAACTGCATTTTATATTATTAAGAGGCATAGAATCCGAAATTCGTCTCTATGTCCAGGAAGGCCTTGTAAAGTGCATGAAAAATAGCAAGGGGGCTCATATGTGGCTTGAAACAAGTAAAAACATTTTGACAGACCATGCACTTGCCCAATTCCCTGCCTTTTCTTTTAACCTATCAGTGTGACACATATTGAAACATGCATAAATATTTTCAATCCCTGGGTTGACCAAATATGGAGTCATATAAAACTCTTCCATGGGTATGGAAGAAAGTAGAGGAGGGTATCACCTCTAATTCCTGCCTTACTTCTACATAACCACACAGAAGGGAAATCCAGGTTCTATTGTTTAATATAGGTCTGTCAGAATCAAATATCCTGGGTGCTCTGTACTTTTAGTTTAGTATTACAATGAGTTTAGCAAAATTGACTCTACACTCTTCTTCTTCTTCTTTTATCATAGAAAATATAGCTGTACAAGTGAAATAGCTTCATGGCAGCCCAAGTGCACTCTATTGGGCACAAGATATAAAAATATAGAATTTTAAACTCTTGTATAAATAGTTATGACAGCAAAACCTAAAAGTTGGGTAAATGGCTTTATAAAAATTGTGTCACAAAAATATCATTAATGTATTAAAAGCAATGCCTATAATAGCCATAGTTGAATCAACATTAAAGAATACACACAGTTTTAATAATATGAGTGATAATTTTGGATTCAGAATATTTATTAATTTTGGGAAAAACACCTACTTTTCATATTTAGAACCTAGCTTTTCAAATCTCCATTAACAACTCAGTGGGAAAGATAAAACATCTGCCAAAATACAGATGACAGCATGAGCAAATGTCCTAATAGTAGACATTTCGTTTAATGCTTTAACACACTGCCTTTAAACCGCTGGGGCGGCCCCATAATTAAGGACTTTTAAATAGGCAGTTACTTCCTCAAAATAGAAATGTGTTTAAAAGTAATATATTTTTAAGAGAAAAGAAAACATCTTATTGAGAGTGAGCCAAATTATTATTATGCTTAGACAATAAACTTGTTTTTTAATCATGTGTACCCTTGATTTTAAAAACTCACTTTGAAAAATCATTCAACTACTGACAGTTCATATACTTATTCATTATTTGAGTAAGGTTTTATTTACCAGTTTTTGAATTCCACTGAAAATGTTGATGTGCTTTTAAATAAAGTATAATTTGACATGTGGGGCATGGGGGAGGGATGGAGCATAATAATTCATTCTGCATCTTGTAAACCAATACAGGGTGTTATATAGTTTGGCTATAATTAGATGGAATGGGCATTTTAGATAACTTATTTTACTGCAAAGGTCAACTGAAACTTTAGTAGCTACCAGCAAATGGCATTTGATTACTAGTCATTTGTAAATGAATCTGAAAGTGTTGTGTAGGAAATTAAATGAGTGGCTGGGGCAGGGCCTGCCCTGAACAAGGGTTGGACCAACTTTGCCTTCAGACCTCCTCTCTAAGGGCAGCACAGACTGACAGTTGGCAGGTTTGGAGCCAGCATGTATTGGGCCCAAGCTCAGAGGAAAAGGACATGACCTCAATGCCAATGTGACCTTCCTAGAACTCTGGACGAATTATAATAATATTTGCATTTTAGTTTTGACCCCACCCCCTGTGGGTTTTCTCTATACATTATGGGTAAGGGCATGCCCAGAAGAAAGATAGTTTCAGTCAATCATCCCTGAATGCAAATGAAAGGCTCCACACATACAATCCCTCTTTAGAACCCAGGAGCTGTGGGCCATGCTCTCTCTAGCATGCACTCCACCTCCAGGGAGCAATCCCATGCCATTCCCTTCCCCTTGCTTTCCCCACAGGCACATAGCCCTTAACCTCTAAAGGACCCCATGACACTTGCATCCAGGGGAGAAATGGGCAGCTGCAGCTCATCCTGGGCTTACCCCCAGAACCTGTCTCCAAGGCCCCTTTCCTCTGACTTCCCTTGAGTTACAGCAGCCCTGCCATTGGCTGCTCTCACTATGTTTTCTCTCACACTCTGTTGACTGACTGGTGCCTCATGTGGAATGTATTTTCAATAAACCCCATTTTGCTTTACTTTTATTTTTTATTGACCTTAAACTCTTTTCTGCATCAACAAAAAGAACCAAGGTCCTAGGCAATAACCCCAACTGGTAACAAAATCAAAATCAAAGTCTGAGTACAAATGAACGTAAAAGATCATGAATTCTCTTCCTCCTTCTATAATCTAAACTCAGTCTCTCAAATACCTTGACTTATAACTTCTTGTGCTCTAAGGCTGTTAGCATCTCTTCACAGGTGCCCTTTTATAACTAAATATTAAACACGCAGAAATCCATTGGTTTTTATACAACAATTAGAGGCCTGGTGCACAAATTAATGGACCAGTGGGGTCCCTCGCCTGGCCTGCTGGACAGAGTCTTACTGGGCTCTCAGACATTTCCTGAGGGGTCCCGGATTGGGAGGTCACAGTGAGGCTAACAATCAGTTTAAATGTAATTAAGCTCAAATTCTAGAATTAAATATAACAATTGCTGTTACTGTTATTCAAACACAATTTGAATATTAGAAAAAGTTAACAAAAGGGTCTTTGCGTGTGAAATGTGACAGGCATAGCCTATAGAGCCACACCAAAAAATCACATGCTTTCCTCAGTTTTATGGAGCACACGTTTTTAAACATAATAAATAGTTTCCAACAGCTTGGGGCCAAAAGGCCTTTGGTGCAGAAAAACACCAAATTCCACTTGACTGCAAGTTGTCTTCCTATTTCAAGCGAAATCCATTGCAGCTAAACTGGTCCCCAAATACAGGGGGACTGGAATGTGCTCTTTGGCCTGTTTTTAAAGTGGTCGGTGGGGCGGGAGGTTGAGAGAGTTTCCAGGAAGTCTATTTCAAGGGTTTAATAAACTAAAAAAGGGGCGGCGGGGGTGGGGGGGGTGGGGGGTGGGGAGATTCTTCTGATTAAATGGTGTGTTGGAAATAAAACTGAATTGTATCACGTATGTCTCCCTTACCTGCTATGTTCATGTGGTAGGGCAAACAGGGAAAATAAAACCATCTTGCAGACTTGGCCAAAATGCGCACTTCAATCCCTAGAAGACCAGGCTCTCCCACTGTCCCGCCTTCATCCCCAGTGTATTTAAGCGCCTAGGAGGGAAGAGGGGTGCCAAAGAGGGGGACCCTGACAGCTGCCACCCACTCGCCAAGGAAGGCGCCCTTTCTGTCCAGTTAATTTCCGCGTGAGGTGCGCGGTGTGGAGTCTTCCTCCCTGGGTGCCTCTGGAGGCGGAGAGCAGGGGAAGGAGATGAGCCCGCTGTCAAGGGGGAAGATGAAGAGGAGGGAGAGGGGATGAAGGAAGGAGGCGCCTGAGTACCCGCGGGGCCTCCCACGTTCGCGCTGCTCCAGCAGTGAAAGGTGCGTCCTGCACCAGCCACCCTCTCCTGGGAGAGGCCAGCGGGGCACCGTGGAGGCAGGAGAGAGATCTGCAGAGACAGGATCAGGGCCACTCACCGCAGCTCGCCAAGCCCAGCAGCAGCAGCAGCACCAACAGGGGCCACATAGCGCCAGCGAAGGGGCAGAGGCTGCTGCCATCACTGCTAAGGCAGAATCTGGTGCAACCACTGGCGTCACAGTCAGAACCCTGCAGTGGCTTCGCGTCACAAGCAGGACCCAATGCCCAGGCTGCTGGCCGCGCTCAGCGTTCTGGCCATCGCACACCTGCTCCCAGCCCCCCCTCCCCCCAAGGTGCTGCTGACTGCAGTCCCTCAGATTCCTGGACTCCTTCATATTCCCTGAGGCTCCGCAGAGACCCTGAGCCCCTCCAGGGAGGTGGCCAACGCTGGGCTTCAAGGGCAAAACTTTCCTTGCCAACCACCATCCCTGTCCAGGGTCCTGGTCCCTCTGGCCAAGAGAGGCTTGGAGTGTGTGCCCTGGCTCACTGGGTCTTCACTGTCCCCGCCCCTCTCCAAGGTTCTTCTTCTCCTTCTTGCTCCATCCTGGGCCCCAGGATCCTCCCTCCAATGTCCTCTCCTGCTAAAAAAAAAAAAAAAAGGATTCAAAATGTGGCTACAAGCCACAGTATAAAGAAGGCCTTCATTAAAAAAAATTTATCAAGTGACATTGGTTCACAAAACTATACAGGTTTCAAGTGTACAACTGAATGAAATATCATCTACACTCTGCATCCTTCTGTCCCCATTCCCTCTTCCCTCTGACAACCTCCACCTCCACTCCACCCACGCCCCTTTAGCTCTGGCTATCACCACACAGTGGTCTGTGTTATGCATATAGAGTTTTTGACTAATCCCTTCACTTTCCTTCAATATCTCACTGAATGACACAGGCACAACATTCAAACTGAAGCAAAGACCTTGTCAAACTGCCAGTAACATTTATCCTAAGTGATGAACTCTCTTGTCACAAAGTCAGTCTCTGGTGGCTACTCTAATGGGCTGCATAGCCTGTCTGCTCCTTTGGTGGTTTTTCTCTTACCTGCTGGAGAAGAAAGCAATTTCCCACCACAATACCCCACTTCTCCAAATCCTCTACCCATGGCATCTCCTCCATCGACTCCATCCTCATAGTAATATACCCAGGAAATAACATTTCCACACTCAGTGCATTATATACTATGTAACTTTTCATGGTTTCCTTGTGTAAACCTCTTTCCCTCAACATTATCATTTCTTTAAAATTGGAGAGTTTTTTAAGTATTCCCTCCTCTATGACTTCCCATTCAACTGAGCAAACAGAAGGAGTTTAATAAATATGTTGATGTGACTGGAGGCAAGCATTGCTCCAGTGAAATTTGATAGTTTTATTTTTTTTAACGATTAAAAAAAGAGGAAAAGAGACATCTCACTAACACAATGGTTGATAATTATGGTGGTCATGATGTGAATGGCCACTTAGACACCCTGAGGCTACCAAAGGGACTGTTGGATTCTCCTCCAACTGCTGCTTATATGGATATGAAAGAATCACCCACCAGACTTATAGCATTGGGACACTGTGTACCACAGGGCAGCTGGTTGGCTACATAAGGCTGTCAGCTGTCCCTGAGACCAAAGGACCCCTTAACGCTGAAGAGTGACCAGGAAAGACTGTCCACAACCTTCAGAAGTAGAGTTGGAATGATGCTCTGTTTTATACTGGCAGCTGCTGAAGCTAAGTACCTGATGTATTTTTGTGCAGAAAATGGAGCAATCTTGCCCTGGCAGGAGTCGCTAAGGGGTTAGCAGGGGTGGGCAAACTTTTTGACTCGAGGGCCACAATGGGTTCTTAAACTGGACCGGAGGGCCGGAACAAAAGCATGTTTGTGTGAACTAATATAAATTCAAAGTAAACATTATTACATAAAAGGGTACGGACTTTTTTTATTTAGTTTTATTCATTTCAAATGGGCCAGATCCGGCCTGCGGGCCGTAGTTTGCCCACAGCTGGGTTAGAGCAACAGTTTGAGCAGGGAAGGGTCCTTGGTTTGATTCCCAGACAAAGACATGAACCTGGATTGCAGGTTTGATGCTTGGCCCCCGTCAGCACATGTGCTGGATGTGTCTCTGTCACATGGATGATTCTCTCTCTTTCTCCCTCCCTCCCTCTCTCTTTCCCTCCTTTTATCTCTCTCTCCCTTCCACCTTTTCACCTTCCATTCTCTAAAATAAAAGAAAGAAAGAAGAAAGAAGAAAGAAGAAAGAAAGAAGAAAGAAAGAAAGAAAGAAAGAAAGAAAGAAAGAAAGAAAGAAAGAAAGAAAGAGAAAGAAGCAATGAAAAAATATAATCTGGTGAGGATTAACAAAAAAGAGAAAATGGAGCACTCTTAAATCAGGTGAATAAGAAGAGGTGCCCCAACCGGTTTGGCTCAGTGGATAGAGCGTTGGCCTGCGGACTGAAGGGTCCCAGGTTCGATTCCAGTCAAGGGCATGTACCTTGGTTGTGGGCACATCCCCAGTGGGGAGTGTGCAGGGAGGCAGCTGATCGATGTTTCTCTCTCATCTATGTTTCTAACTTTCTATCCCTCTCCCTTCCTCTCTGTAAAAAAAATCAATAAAATATATTTAAAAAAAAAAAAAAGAAGAGGCCATCTGGGTGACCACCTCAGCTCTTGGAAATCAGCTGGGAGGTGTTGTATTTTTAAAAATATATCTTATTGATTTTTTACAGAGAGGAAGGGAGAGGGATAGAGAGCTAGAAACATTGATGAGAGAGAAACATCAATGAGCTGCTTCCTGCACACCTCCTACTGGGGATGTGCCCACAACCAAGGTACATGCCCTTGACTGGAATCGAACCTGGGACCTATCAGTCCGCAGGCCCATGTTCTATCCACTGAACCAAACTGGTTAGGGCTGGGAGGTGTTTTGATGGTGGGGCAAGAGGAGGCCTATTCTAGGAGACAGAATCCAAAGCAAGTTTCCTAGGTTTGATTAGCTTCTCTCTGAGATAATTTTGTCCAGTATCTAACTACCTTTTATTTCTGTTTCCCTTTTAACTTTTCCAAGCATTTTTATTTAGATTTTGTGCTCTTATCTTTACTTAAGGTGTTTTATGTTTTGTTTTGTTTTTCGGGGGTGAAAATTGAGAGTAATGTATAGTAGAATATTTTGAACAGAAGTAATTCACATTCCATTTATTACCAAAATTAGTCTTCATAACAGCCATGGAGTGGGTATTATGATCTCCATTTTAGTGATGAGGACACAAAGGCAATGGGGAATAATGGGCACTTGGCCCATGACTGTATGTGATACTTTTCTCTCTGTGTCTCTCTTGTTGATGTCTATCTTCCTAAGTTTTTTCTCCCACTTTTCCTTTTCACCCTATAACATCTAATTGCCTCTTCCATTGCACTTTGGTTATGCTGCTAATGAAATGCATCTATATATTAATTTGTACATATCTGTCTTCTATTCTACCATGTAGCTAGGAGAAAATGAAATTTTTCCAGGGTATATTTGTATTTCCAGGGTCTGACACAGTGCTTGGTCAAGACCTAAAAGCTCTGTGTGTGTTGAATGAAGCAAGAAAATCCGTGTGATGTGTAATATTACAGAAACACTTTAGCCCAGGTCTGAGTTTACATCTTCAGCCACGCACTACGGTTAACCTTGGACAAGTTACTTAACACGTCTGAACCTCCTTTCCTCATTTGTGAAGGTATGTGATGAAAATAATAGAAATTATTCCTTAAATTGCCTTGAGAATTTACTGTTAGCACTTTTACAGCTACATAGAGCAGTGCCTGGTGCACAATACGCACACAATCAATATTACTTCCTATTATTAGAGTCTCCTTATAGTGAAATGTGTCTCTGAGAAGGACAGGGAAAATTATTGTCTAAAGGATCACCAATTGCTGGTCTGAAACCCTGAAGAGGCACTGGGATTGGGCCAAGTGTGTACAATTTTGATTCAAGCCAGGGGCACAAGTCTGTGCTCAGCGGATAGCCCTTAGTCCACGTGTGTTCCTATACACTTTGTTGTTGGTCATTCAACACTGAGAGACCCACATCCTTGATACCTGGCTCAGGGCCCAGTGTCCTAGGGTGTTACTTAAACTTGACCCACTCAGAAAAGCACAGTTGCCCCAGTCATCAAATAACGCAGTGTAGCAAAGAGTGTCTGTGCTCAATAGGCCAGGACTGGGTTTAGATGGTTAGGCAGCTGGAAGATATTGACATGTGGTTAGGGAGATGGATTTGGCTTAGGGAAACAGAAGGAAGGCTCCAGTAGCAGGAAATGATCTTCCTGGCCTGTGCTTCCATGAGGGAAAAATATTGGAAACAGAAACTGCCTCCAAGTAGTAGGAGGCAGGACTGAGGGTTTGGGGTAGGGGATATTCTACTGGAGGGATAAGGGTGCATTTCCATGGGGAAGTCCTTGTGCCCAGGCTTGATTTGCCCAAGTCAGACACAAGCACAGCTCTTCCCACTCCCCCTGCTGCTGTTGCTGGAGGCTGCTCAGGTAGGGGGCCCACACTCACCACAGCTGGAAAGCACTAGAGAGAGCCAGCTTCTCAGTTAGTTGTAAAACCTCAGCACCTGCATTTCTGTGAGAGCACATCATCTTTGGGGTCCTGGGAAGGCCTCTCTGTACCTTGCCTAACTGTCCCCTTTGGAGACACATAACATGCATGTAGCGGGTGCTTACTATGCATCAGGACCTCATCATGCTGTAGTATTTACTGTCTGTTGCTGCCAAAAGGAATTACTACAAATTTAGCGACTTAAAATGATACCCATTCATTATGTGACAGTTGTGCAGGTCAGAAGGGCAATGGTTTCTCTGCTTCTGGTCTCCCATGACCAAAATCGAGGTGTTGCCTGGGCTGCGGTCCCTTCAGAAGGCTCTAGGGGAGAATCCATCTTAAGGTTCATTCAGGCGTTTGGCAGAATTCAGAGTCTCTGGGACTGAGGTCCCCATTTGCCTTCTGGCTGCCATCTTGGAGGGGTCAGCATGGACAGGCTGGCTTTGGGTAACTGTGTGTAGCGCCAATGATACATTAAAACCTTCTCCAGTTGTCCTGCCTCCTCTTCTGCCACATTTCAATGACTGACTCTT